ACTTTTGGATGATTTTTTGAGTATTCCAAACTGCTGGAAGTATAGACACCTAGTACTTTTGTGGTAGGCTAGAGCTAGGCTCCTCCCATCTTCCACCACACTTTTAAAGACAGCGTGTTGTCTAAATAAACGACATTGTTGTGTGGCACTGAAAGACCAGTCCTCTGCTCTGTATCTGCTGTGCATGACGTGGACAACTTGTAACCAGTTGCTCCAAGCCCTCTTGACGATGCATTCTCTATCGTTTTGTCCATTTGCACCGTGTAAACATTGCAATCGAATGAAATTATCGAATGCAATGAGCTCGCGGACATATGTACCAACAGCTGTGCCAGCTTACGTAGCCATCGAATAAAGACTTTTTCGCATATGGCATTTTTTTACCATCATCACATACGAGCTTAAAATCTACTTGACTAATGAGTCTTGTATACAACCTTCTGACAGAAGAGTGTACCGACTACGGTACGCTAAAGCGCATCAACTAATGTGTCACGGTTGAAGCCTTCATCAGCCCTCATTGCCGAGTGCCATGAATTTTTACTAATTTCTTTCTAGCATTTTAAACACTTCAGTGTTGGCTCCGGAAGTGAAGCGACACAAGTGTACTTTTCGGTGGTGCTGTCGCCGCTAGTAAGTCAGAAAATGAGCTTCACCAATTCGTCTCCCGTGACCGATGAGTCAGTGATCGTAGTAACCAAGGTAGTTGTTGCTGGCACACATGACATGCCAGCTCAAACAACAAAGGGAGTGGGAAAAAACTGAGTGATTTCTTTAACGTTTGGTCCATTCGGTGGAAAGTACCCAGACGACACGTGGTAAGCAGAGGTCTTGGCGTACTCCGAAGTTTTAAAGACCTAAAAAACAGGTGGCTGGTTAGGGTTATTCAGTGTACTGATGGCATACTGTATGGCATTGTCACGTGATTTTGATTCAGGTCCCGGCTTCACCTAGGCGTGATACGATAATGAGATCCATCAATCAAATCTCTGGTCCAGTGCTTCCATTCTGGTGTACGACCAGCAGATAACTGTTGGAAAAGTAAAGAAAATTCAGACTCGTTTTGAGGCTTACAGTTCCGAAGCGGATTGGAAAAGTTCTGTGGGTTAATATTCTGGTTTCAAGTGAACGGTTACCAAAATCCTAGGAAATCAACAAGACAGTTTTGTACTGGAAATCAAGCTGTAGAGCTACGAGGAAGTGTTCGCTCAAAGGACTACAAGTCATATTCAAAGAAGACGATCTATTCGTTTGCACAGAACAATAAGTTTTGCGCTGGTGCAAAATAAGATTCATCACCTCAACCCCCACCCGTTCAGGAAACTAGCGGTCAATGTGAAACACGCTGATGCAAACTTAATGGTTATTAAATCATCCCTAAACGGACAATCACTACGCGCCATACTCACCACCTGTAGTAAGGTTAAACATCCTTTATGAATGAAGGAGTACAACGTCGCTGAAATCACACGCGCCTTAGTTTTGGTTGGGCCCACGAATGACATTCAAGGTGCGGCTTTAACAAATCGATCCCAATCTACAATACCAACCTATCTTTACCAAAACAAAAACTTTTTCAGCTATCCATTAGTCGGAGAAAAAATGCTAGGTGACTGGAGTGCTCTATTGATTCTTAGTTTTATGGGCTTTCGTCAGACACTTTAAAGTAGTATAACTGGGTTCAGTTGTCTGAAGCTCTAAATTTGCTAAAGGACTGCTTCGTGATAAAAGTCAAATTAGTTAGTCGTGACACTATTTGGGGGGGCATAGATTGGATGGACTGGCGTTGACGAATAGTTATTTTGCCCCTCGTTTTCAAGCGGTACGTGGCCTAATGCACTTGAGGTCGGAAAGAAATTTACCTATCCTGTCTGTACAACGGAATTCCAAGTCAGCGGAACACCTCACAATAACTGTTGACCTCATGAGAGTTCACAAACGGGATATTTGAGTATGTTCACAAGAACGATTTATGATGCAAGAGCCGGGTGAATTTAAGTTGGGCCTCTACATTTCTGGGCAAAAGCTTGCAATAACTCTGAGAATGGGTTTCAAAAACGTGTTATTTATCTCAGTTGTGAATGATACCCATTTACCGCTCTACCACTGATAACGTTCACTGTGAGCTAGCGCCTTAGGAAAAGACTAAATAGTTACCAATATCCTTCCTGAAAATTGAAACAGCTACACGGAAGTTAACCGGTCTAGGTGAGTCCGAATCGCGACAATAGGATCTTTTAGCAGGTAATTGCGTTGATTTCAAAAGACTCGACGGTACTTCTATTAACCCACATAGAAAAAGTGAAAAGCGGAAAAATCGTGACCATGGCCAAACTCAGTATACTAGAAGTAAGGGGGTTTTGGAGCTAGCTGAAAGAACTCGGTGGCATAAATTCCAAGTATAGTGCTGCGTAAGACTGGGGAGAAAACGTGACAGTATGCGACAATATGGCATTTCATATGGCGTCGACTTCATTTGAGAAATAAATATTTGAACATGCAAGAATGTTTAATAAAGGGAGGATTACAAAAGGGAGAACCTACGCTTGTTGCGCTTGCTTGTCGCATAGTTCTCAGATATTGAATGGTGATACGGTGTTTTGAACTTTAGAAAAGTGGCCGCATGAAGTCTACTTTCTCACTATATCTACCACTACTGCTACCATATCCCACACGTATCGAAGCATATTTTTGCAATAGCACTTCAAATGAACTAAAAATCGTGGCCACCTCAGACACTTATTCAAGCACACAACCATGGGAAACGTATTCGAGCATACCAGTTTAGCTGACAGTTTACTTTACTTGTGTTGAAATGATATTTTATTTGAAAGCGTCACGTAAATACGATCAAGAGCTACGGAGGTATAGGCTTACTAAGAATCATAGGTCACGTAAATACAATCAAGAGATACAGAGGTACAGGCTTACTAAGAAGGATAGAACATTTCCATTCGGAAGCACGCTGTTGCGTGCTTTTCACAGTTGTTTGTAACACTTTGGCTGGATCGTAAGTTATCTACCAGCAGAACACACCAGCCTTGATTGGCTGAGCCGTATTGCCCAAAACTTCAGATTACACTGAAACTATTATCTATTAGCACAACACACCAGCTCTGATTGGCTAGGCCGCATTGCCCAAAACTTCAGATTACACTGAAACTCGAGGCTCCAATCAGCTGCCACTGATTAATATTCACGGAGATGCAACCTGTCTTCTGTACATCATGTGGATGAAGAACTCACGCCTGATCTTGAATGAATTCATCAGCCGACATTTGGACAACTAGGTATATGCAGTAAAACACGAATAAATAATAAGTCGATTATCTGGTTTTGGGGCCGTGACATGAAGTTTATTCCTACGCTTACCGCACGGAGGCGAGTTTCTTCCACACGATGCCGTTCTTCCCAAGCGAGCTGATCTGCCCGTAGTCTCTGGTTTTCTTCAGTAATTTGACGTCGTTCCTCCGCGTTCTTCTCGTGTGACTTACGATATTCACCGAGAAAATTGCCCTTGTGAAAAGTGAAGAAGGGGGTTGATGAAGTGGGATACTAAGACATTCCTGACTACGATGCAGGATGCAACGAATTTCAGCATGCATATATCGTTTGGAGTCACCTCCAGTGTTTATCACCATATAGCCAGTTGTGTGTTTTCATTCATGATAGACCTACTTGTGCCCTGGTTTCAGAAAGTATCAATGCCTACTTTTTCAGTACCGACAACACGATACCAATGTTTGGAAGAGAAACGGAACTTTACCTCAGTACAACCACGACTGTTTCCTGCTATAGAACTTCAACGACTTCTATGCACTATCTGAGGCACTCAGAGGAAATCACCGGTCCCGTTTTTTTCATCACTCACCATATGGCCGTCCAGAGCTGTTGGTGCACCGTTCCTAACGACAAGTGATTCTCTGCGCAGAAGCGTTTTGATTTCCGCGAACGCACCTCTGGGTTCCTTGTGCTTGAAGTTTCAGACGGCTTTGAAAATCACCCGAAATCTCACCACTTCCTGAGACATATTCTAATCTGATATCGCGTCCAACGGATAATTTTGTCCGGTCAGGAACCAAACATATAACATTGATTGTTGTCCACACGTTGGCACAAATATAGTTATAGACGATCGTTTCGGTCGGAAAAACTGACAAGAAGCTTAAAATGACACCTTTTGCGTCGGAGGCATGACCCTTGAGGAAGTGGCCACAGAGATGTGTTGCAGAGTATGGTGATTTCGCAAACACACGCTACCTATTCAGGGGTTTTTGCAAGGTTATTAATCCCCGATGGTTTGCGGCACTGCTTCCGTAAGCCTTGCGAAGTATGAACTTTCATTTTAAGAAAATTATCCTATTACAGAGTAATCTGCGCGTGAATTGTGCAGTAACCCACCCTCAGCTATTCATCTTAGCCTTCCCAAGAGCTACGCTGAATGAACAGATCCACGTGTTTCACTGATGATAATAATAACTCGTTTGTTTTCAGTGGCGCGTGGCCAAAGTCATCTCGAATCAGTAAGGTCAACAGAATTATGGAAATTTAGTTAGTTGCAACTGACCGATCTATTAAGCATTCGTGCTGTACTTCGTGTAGTTCGTGATAGTCAAGTTTTTATTATAGGTTCCCAATAGACAAACATGCGTCTGTGCTTTCATTTTGGAAATTTCACATCTTCAGTGAGTTATCCAATATGAGGATCTCCAGTTCAACGCGTGTTGCCTTCCTTGCCTCAGTGTTCCAAAATACCGTAGTTTTCAAGCTCCTGTTGCCTAAAACACGTCATGTATATAGCCTGGTGGCCGCAATAACCTCATTCAACTGGTCCTAAATGCTAATATGCCTCAAAATTTCTCTCACCTAACTGATGAATTTACCACTAAGTTTTAAACCCGGACCGTAACGAGCATCATTTAGACTTCTTCCCTCTCCAATGTGGGTACGGTTTGGACAACGGTGAAAATATAATTTCTGAGCAGACTCTGTTGTGTGTGCTGATTGCTCTACTTTGTTGGTGAGTGCAATCACACCGACTTCGAGAACACCTGCAGCTGATAGTAGTTTATTTCTATTTTAGTTTTAATATCCGGGTAAAATTATTCAGCCACTTTTAAGGTTCGTGCAAAACTGTGGACAGCGCAACACCGGTTTGAGTCTTCTTAGGGATCATCAGGTAGGCCTAGTCTCTAGTACTTTATCAACCCTAATACTTTCTCTACTACATGAGGTCATCAGGATTCGATTGCGGGATTCACAGTTGCCCAACAGATCTCGCTTCTAGTTGAATCAACTGATCCGAAAGACACTAAAGAGGCAGTGTGCCTTGACTTTTCTTATCAAACCAATTAGTTAACAAATTTATCAAAGCCCGATGATTAAACGAAGGCTCTTCCAGTGAAAGCGACGCCGGAATGTTTCGCTCAGTTTAGCCAGCTGGTAAGATCTACATTTTTTGTCTGAAAAAAACTGAAGACAAAATATAATAATACTAATCCATACTGGTTGGCCTAAGTACAACAGGGACAATATTCTACTAAAGAAACTCATTCATTAAAACTACATACAACTAACTGCTGTAATTCTGCTCGTTCCCGACCAGCCTGCTCCACTAGTCCTCGGCGTTCCTCTTCAAGCATGATTTGCAACTTTGCCAGTCGGTTATGTTCTTGTTTGATTGCCCATCGATCCTATAACGGAAGAAACATAAAGTGCATACCTCCCGGTTGGCTTAGAAAAGAACCCAAAATTTGTTTCCACCATGAATGTTTCGAATAACTGTCCTGGAAGTATGGCCATTTGGAATCATCTAATAGCCGTACTCGCTCATAAAAACCAGAGTGCGATATGCAGAGAAGTTACAAAAATTTAGTTTTAGAAAGGAACTGTCGAAAGCTGATCGACAACTGCTCCGGAATTTGCACGAAATTCTAAATGTTAAAAAAATCACTTCTGTCAAACATAACTTAACAGAACACTAGGCATACTAGACGATCATCGACATGAACAGGTGGTTTTCCCCGTGCCTTCTTCAGAATGGTGGAAACTTTGGGGAAGTAAGGTTTGGCCTGATAAGACTTTAGAAAATAGACGAAGAGTCTGGATGTTGTTATGGCTGCCAGTCCTCCTGGATGATGTCGTTGCAAGATATGTGGTTAACCAATATCAGTGACATTATTCTTGCCATGTTTTACCCAGGTTATCCTATTGAGTTTTTGGTGGTGTAGGTAGGTAGGCTAGAAACAAGCATGTTCCTTCCCCGATCAACCCTTTTTCACAATGAGCATATTAAGATGCCTAAACACACCTGTGGTCGGTGGTGGAGGGTAGATATCAACACTAATATTGATGTCTACGATAGAGGTTTGATGGTGAGATAGATAGTCCCAGAAGCTAAAAACAAACCGTAAGAGGTGTGTGTAGTATGGTTGAAGGCGTATGGAACATTCATTACATCAAACCGTTTTGCGGTCAACTAACGAACTCGTTTGCCGGGGAATAACTCTGTCATAGTAAGCATCTTTTACAGCGTGTATTGATGTGACTCTCCGAAGAGGATCGTTTCAGATGTTTTAAGAAACAACAGGAGCTAGTAAAACCAGTTATTTTCAATATCCCGACTACAAGTAAAAATAGGTCATGGTTACCCGTGGTCAATATGTGGGCTGAGATACGGCCGGGGCGTCAAAATGTAGACTGGAGGGCAGTAAGTTTTCATATTCAAAGCCTTCTGATCAAAAGCTTGGCTGAGTGGCGGAGGTAGTTGACTTGAGACTACTCAAGCAGCCCAGTTTTTTAAGGAACAAGCTGCTATACTTGTTTTAACCCAAACCTGGAGGGCCACTGTGTTACCGACAAACCTGAAACGGTAACCTATAGCACAGCTCAATGGGCTAATTAGGTGCACAGCAAGGCTCTGATTTTGACTGAGAACATTTTTGACATGCAGTATAGAATAATATCGATCAGAATAAGGTTTCTGGTGTAAGGTGAGTTTTTTCTTCTACTTAGCCTATGTACAAGCCTAGAAAGTGTCCTTTCTCACTATAGTCTAGTGGTCACTGAAGCTGGTGAGTAGTGCCGTGCCGGGAGTTCGTGAACCCCTGACTCCTTATCGACCAACCAGAGACTCAAGCAGGACAAAGGATTTCCATGTTCCGAAGCTGACTTTTTAGCACCTTAATCCCTATACGGCTGACTCCGAAATGGTACTCTGGACACAAAAGCTCTCATTCGAATCCATTGTCAAAATGATATCTAGAGGAGGAATCCAGGGAAGTGTAACCACAACCCACAAATCCCAGTCCCTTTGTTGAACGATATCCGATTCAACGATATCCGGTGCAAACGAAAGGTGAGTCAAAGAGGTCTTAATTCACTCTGCACTTAAGGTCGGTGAAATAAATCCGAAAGTATGATTCTTTTTCCAGACATTCCAAAGCCTGAAAATCCCAACCCACAGTTGTTTCAAACACGAAGCCGAAACTTAAAGAGTGTCAAATTATTATGGATTTTGAGTGTATTTTGCCGACAACAACATATAGTTGGTATACAGGGCAAAACCGTAGGTCCGAGACGGATGGCGTTCCATATGCATTTTAGTACTGTACGGGGCAATACGGTTTAGGTTCCTCTTTCGGTGGTTCAGTGGAATTTTGTGGTCTCTGTAATGCTTGTCTGTAATTTTCTTCTGCATCGCGTCTACATGTACACTTGCAGTTGCATCTAAAAGCGCAGTCCATAGGTGCACCGACGATCAGATTGTCCTTTGGATAAAATGGAAAGGGACGTTCGGTATCTCGTCCTCGATAGTCTACACGGTAGGTGGTGCAATTCGAAAATTCCCCATGACACGCCTTCTCAGTGCATTTACAGCATTTACATGGAGGATAATTCAGAGCCATGGGTGAACAGTGCGCCTGAGTGGACACTGCGACAGTTTGAATCGTCGTCTGAGCGGCAGCAAATCGATTTTCCGGAAAAATCCATATTTCATTAGCCAGCAAAGAGGCGACCTGATATTTGATACACTTGTTATCAGTCAGATAACACCGAAGGCACAAGAAAGTAATCTGATACATCCCAGTTGCAAGAAGAGGATCAGGAATGTTAACTTTAAACAGAAGATCATTGACAAGAATCACCATGAATGAGAATGCCCATTTAAAGCACCTCGACACAAACGCGCCACGAAACACAGAGGAGCTTTTTAGTCGGTATATGAAAATACGACTGAACAGATGGACATTGAATGAACAAAAGAATGAATGAATGAGCGAACGGACGAACGAACAGATGAACAAATGATTGAGTGGGAAACTGGGTGAATGAATGACTAAATGAAAGAAGGATGTAAGGAAAGAAGGGATTTATTAGACTAGGTGGTCCATCATGCATTGCCAGTTTCTCAAACCATGTGAACGCGTTATTCCCTCAGGATCAACCGAAACCGAAAAGTGGCTTTGGTTCACAATGTTCGGTAATAATCATATCGTATTTTCTACCTTTGGACCACTGAGAACACCGTCCGCCACAAAGAGCATCACGAAGCATGATGGAATCAACATGCGTGGTCTAAAAACCACAGAGCTTCCATTTCTACCAACGTAGAGGAATGCCACCGACCACATGATATCCTGTGTACCTTTTTCACTCTTCGATTTGACACCAGGCAGGTTCTTTTTATTTTCATGTTAGGCAAGACAGAGGTTAGCAAGGTGTTAGCAAGATAGAAGTTGGTGATTTCACTCCAACTCTGAGAAGGCTTTCTCAATGGCACGCGGTGCGTTTTGTCTTCTTGTTCCAGAATTTATCACATTACCGTCTATTGTGACTATACAGTTTTCTCTAATTTGAGAACCAGAAAAAATAAACAAGAGTGAGTAACTAAAGAATTTTAGGGCCTAGAATCTTTTTTGAGGCTGCCTCTAGTTTTTCCGTGATAAAAGCACGACACTTCGAACTCAATAGCACTTTCAATAAATAAGAGCTACGCTGAGTCGGTTTCTACGGCTTCAGGAAGTGTGAAATCATGTCTTTAAGTAGATAAACTCTGTTATTAACTATATAGAATATCTTTCGAGAGGGAAGTGATTTGTTGTAAAAATGATGGCTAATAAGAACAACACCGCACGCTTCCTGCGTCGCAGTAATGGTGTCTTATTCTGATTTTGTGGATATGCATTGAAGCATTTAGCTTCAACTTGCATAGCATCTTGCAAATGCATGCCATTGTGGTCTAGTTAAACGATTAACTCATGTCACCTGGGCTATTGCAGGCAATATATGGCATCTAGTTTAAACTCTCATCATGACCGCAAGACGAAGATGTATCCTAGTGTAGCAAAGATGATAAATCGATTAGTAGATATTTGATCCTAGTCTGACCACACGCTAGCGCGAAGCTCTTCCCCCTTTCACATTATGAAGTTTCGTAGTAGAGGAAAGTAAGACTGTGGTGACCTTCGTTGGGTTTGCTGGCAATAATTGTAACGGCCATAGCGATGGTTCTGTTAGAAGCGTAATGAAAGAAAATTTCGTACACCAAGAATTTCTCCTAGACGTAATACATTATTCATAAGACTGGTGAAAACTACTCGAAGAGTTTTTAAATAGAGAGAACAACCAGCAGGAATTAATTACCAGCTGGCTAGCGTGCGATTCCGTTAGACGACCAACAAACATACAGGTCGTACCTAAGTGTTGCGGCCTCAAGTCTTGGCGGCCTAGTGGGTGTAAAACCACGCGGAAGGTAACGTAAAAGTGAAGAATGTTTGCAAGGACTGGGATGTGTTAATACGCATGACAACATGACATGATACGCATGATATTCAGATAAGGCCTGCCCATCCAAACTTTAGGGCGTTTTATTCGTCTATATCTCATACAGTACCTTTGTCCATACAAATTTATGGGAAGTGTAACATCTTTAGGAAGCACAGCTCCTTAGAAGAAGTCACGGCCTGCTGTCCCGAATGCAAATCTCATGATTTTTCAGGAAACATTCAATGATTTGAAACGGAAATAGAGAAGAGATATGTTTATTGGTTCGTAGCAGAGTAAAACAGCATGAAATTAGTTGAACCAAGTCATGAAACAGGTAGTGAATTCTAACTTTAACTTTTTATCAGGTACTGATTACCAGTGTGCATATTATGGGCACAGATCGCTCATGCTAACTACGTTGAGGAATAATCCATGAAAAAACGCAGACTGGTCTAAACGTACCTTTTTTCAAAGAGGTTATAATTGTAGGTTAATATCTGCTGTGGAACCGTAGTACTCAAATAAAACGAAATGGATAACTCCACCGCACTTAAGCCTTCCAAAGTGTATCTCACAGTAAATAAACGCACAAGTGCATTCAAATATGTTATATCCCTCCGGTCGTAATGATGCATTATTCTAACTGTGATAGCCAGTTGGTGAATTAGATGGTCAGCATGAATCCCCTAAACGGTCAATCCACGAACCATGCGAATGAACAGTATTATCTGGTGTGATCCACAAGACCCACTACTAAACTCGGTCAACGATGGAAAACCTATTCTAATAAATGATCACTAACTTTCCTAGTTCATTAGAATTCGCACATCCTGAAAGTTCTTCGTCGCTCACACCTTCTCAGTTCCTCCAAATCTTTTCTACTGGAGTACATGGAACGCACTCTATGAAAAATACCTCTAAACACGGAGCGTCTAAAATACTTGCAGGCACCATTCGGGAACATGGAATAGGACAATAACCACTAGCACGTGCAGTGGTTAATTAAGTGAAGAATGTGGTTCTGGAATATCTGGAGCATTTTTAACTACAGTGTCTCTGGACAAAGTGCTTCTGCTAAGAAAGCTGCATTCAGTCGTGAAGTCATTTGGAAGATCGAATATGACCTCATATTATTCATATTCACACCACTTTCGTTTGAACGGTCGTCCTCCTGTTCTGACAAGTATTCCGGTGAGCCCAAGCCAAAGGGAAGAACTGGACTCGAGTTTCGCTCTTTTAGGGGATCGTTTGCAGTGCATATACAATGGCTGTGCCGGGGCTTAAACTTTGGACGTCTGAACCGGCGAACGTGTCCATACTTGAGCGATGCGATTGGTGTGCCCGACTCATCGAACGACGACCCAGTAACTGTCCTGGTGGTGACGATCGATTGACCCATCAGTCAGGTAGCGTGACACATGCTTGAAACCCAGTAGGGAACATTTTGGCTGCAGTTTTTGGATTTTGTGCGATAGGTATTTTGGTCATAGTCACACTACTGTCATTTGAACGGTCGTCCTCCTGTTCTGGCGTAATTATTCTGGTGATTGACTGGGAAGTCCTGACTGGCGGGTCGATCGATCGTCACAACCAGGACAGCTACTGGGTCATCGTTCGATTAGTCGGGCACACCAATCACATCGCTCAAGTATGGACAGTTTCGCCTGTGAAAATTCAGGTGCGTTGGTGGGGTAGTAGTTACACGCTTGCCGTGCACGTCAGTTGCCCAAGCTTTAAGCCCCGGCAAAGCCATTGTGTACGCGCTCCAGACGATCCTTTAAAAGAGCGAAACTCGAGTCCAGTGCTTCCCTTTGGACTGTGGACTCATCGGAATAATTACGCCAGAACAGGAGGACGACCGTTCAAACGAGAGTGGTGTGAATATGAACAAATTATCTATCCCGTAAAACCCCAAAACTGCAAATTCATACTAATTGCGTACAGAGAACTCTGTGTCTATGTATTTGTGACAAACTACGCAATTTAATTACGCACAAAAAACAAAACAGGGCCGGGGGGAATATGTTTCTTCCTATAGTGATAATCTTTCGTTTATGTTCTGGCGCCTGGTGCCCTCTAAAGGGACGCAACGCCTTTTCCGATTGACATGAGAGGGTAGAGTACGAACTTTACCGTAAGCCATCAATCCTAGTGTCAGGCTGACGGGGCAGTAGTAGGTTGGCTTCAACTGGGAGCACGGGGAGTTGAGTAGGGACGTACCGATGACGTCGGACCTCATATGCCCTTTTATATCCCTATTGATCAAACGGCTGGATTTGATGTCTATTTCGGGCTGCATTTAAGGCCAGACTTTTCGAAAAAGGCAACTAAGACGCTTATACGAAAATTAGAAAGCAAACAAATAAATTATTTTTGCCTGCCCCAGTTAATAGTATGACCTCAACCGCAGTGTCTGTTCGACCGTGATTTTTTAATGAAGAAGCTGGTTGCAACTTTTTAGGCCGTTGTCCGTGGAGTTTTTCCCGGCATTTGAAACTTCAGGATCTGACACTCATCACTTGGGATCATTGCACAATAGGAATCCGAATATCGCGATAACTTTGAACGGTGCATACACACCAAATATGGGGCAACTGAAAAGCTGTGAATTAGTTTGGCGTTTAAAGGTTCAGAGAGCTGTCACCGTGTACTACTGATTACTTAGCCTGATATGACAAGCTATCCTAACTGGCTAGCAACGAGGGTCCGTGTGGCTTAATGAACAAAACTCACTTCCGTCATTTGCTTGATGTTTTCTTTGAGTTGAAATTCCAGTTTTCCCATCACTTCAGTTATTTGTTTTCGTTCACGCTCCAGCTCCTCCTCCTAGGGTCGGCAGAGGGAGAGAAGGAAGAAATGTACTACACTACTGAAAAATTTTGATTTCTAATCGATCCCTGGAGAAGCAGATGTAACAAAAGCCAATTAAAACTGTAGCAACTTGTAAATATATTTTATCATCGTAGCGTGTCCTTTTATCTTTCATCACGGCTGAGCAGTGGAGGGTATATGTACAAATTACTTTGAGCAAAGTGTTTCAATTAAGAGAGGTCACCACGCAGAAAACAAATTGATTAGCTTATCAACGAGGACAGCTTTCCTTGGAAGTACACCTGTAATACGGCACTAGTTTGTGGATGATTATATATGTCAGATAATACTAGAAGATTTATGGATGCTTCCATTTTCTACCACTATCATCGGCACTTTCAACATTGAAATATTGCTGCCCAAAATTAGGGTTCAACTTGTCAAGCAGTCACCCATTCTGAAAGTTATTCCGTGTACCGTAAAACTGTCATCTTTTTTCGTGATCAATAAGCGTTTACACTACACAGTTCCCTGCAAAACTTAAACTCCAGAAACTTCCGGTTAATCCCAAGAACTCCCACTTTCCTGCGGGAAGATGACTGGTCTTGTCACTTGACTTAGACAGGATGTACAGCCATTGTTTTCCGTAGTTCGCTGCACATGTCACGTAACTGGAAACTAAATGACTGTTTGACCGAGGAGTCCTCCGAAGAGACTGTCTGTTACGAATGAAGTGTCTACTCCTCGCGGTATATAACTTGTAGTTTTTATATAGCGATCATATGTTACGGAATTTTTTGTAGAATTCATCCCGTCAGGTTTAGTTTGAACATTATAAAAACCGCATATTCGTTAGTTCATATCAGAAACATGGATTCTGCAAATTGCAAGATTTGAAATTCTTTGTTCCCTGAGTCAGATGGTCGCAACCCGCACGCAGTATTTACATTCCTCTTGAAACAGTAATTAAACGGAAGATATGAACCAATACGGCAAACTCACACGTTGGCCCAAGCGAGACTCCAACTTTCGCAATGCTTCTTCTCGTCTCGTCAGTTGCTCTTGCCGCGCAGAAAGATCTCGTGTTCGCTCTTGTTCCCCTTTGCCGATCTCAGCGATGGTTGTGATTAGCTGCTCCAACAAGTGCTTCAGGTTTTCTGTATTTGGCTGCAGTTCATTCATGACATTGAATTCGTTTTGGCGCGCATTCTGGATTCGAGCGATGGCCTCCTCGTGACTGACTTTGAGTGTTTTAAGCTCTTGTCTATATAATGATAGTAACACTGAATATTGATTGAAGTCAAATAACGTGAAATTCGGGCAGAGCTCATAATCACCTAAAACACCAGGCAAGGCTCCAAAAACGGACCCCTTGGAGCAAACATGCCCACTATCCTTGGCGGTAATGTAGCGGGCACAGGTGAAATCAGGTGAGTGCAGAAGAAGCCGTTAGATGATCAACATAACATGGTGAACAGAATCACACTTGGTTATTCAATGTTGTTCGGGCGGCAATCAGGAATACCTCCAACTGGACACGTTGTTAACTTCGCCACCAACACGACTGGTCAATGATAGTTCAACAGCTTCTACTAGGAAATTCCTGGTTGATTTTCGGAAAACACAAGCACACAAAGTGAGACTAGTGTAAGGGTCAGTGGAATTCAAATAAATTTTCACTTTAGTACACGTTCGAAGATAAGTTCCCAATTCGACCATTACAGCTACATACTTGTTACAAACAGGCAATCAATTGGTAGGCAATCTGACCACTCATGAAACAGTTTCATAGTTCATCTAAGCAAATAATCGATATTCCTGGAAGGCTTGATAATCCATCCTCCTTTCCTTGGGACAAGAACTGTGCATTATGAACAGAGCAAAAGATCTCCTGGAAAAGCTCACAACAGGCGACACCAGGCTTTGTGCGAATTCTCCAAAATGTCACATCGATGTAGAGAAATCGATTACGTGTGCCCCAGTTCAAGCTCACACCAAAGACTATAGAACAGCGCTCTACTGAAATGGAAAGTCTCCACTTTTGCTAACCGTGAACGAAACCTCAGCTAGTTGGGATGTGATCACTTTCGGCCCGCATGTGATGCATCATTGTGGTATCATGTGAATGGAACACCCAGGAAAACTGACTTACTCGTGTAAAGTTTTGAGTTGAGCTGCTTCTTGAGTGGCTTGTGCACGCGTGTCTTTGAGTTTTGTGGAAAGCTCGGCGATCAGCTGATCTCGTTGAGATTCCAGAGTAATCATCCGCTCTCGATTCTGTTCCTCCAGGAATCTGAGCTCCTCTTTCAACCTTTAGTTACAGGGATAGCCATGAAATCGTTTAGTGATATTTCGCTACTGACAGTCTTAGAGTAACGTTTAGTCCCGGCAACAAATGGAATCGCATGGCTGTTTTGTCTACAAGACGTATTGGTATGCTTGCGGAGTGATTTAGTCCAATCTACTTACCGATGTTCCCGCCGCTTTGCGCTTTCCTCCAGTAAATCCAATTTTGATCTGCGCAAGAAGAAAACATTAACCACGGTAACCCAAATAGTCATTCCTGAATACAACTAATTAAACGAAGTATTTGGTCACCGAGCTCCTCCTCAACATTTGTCACAAGCCGTCGTTTTTTGAAGTCAGGAAGAGGATATTTTGCTTGAGAAGCTAACAGCAATATCTCATCCCCGTAGATTATCAGACAACATTTGATGTTAAATAGTGACCGAAATAGGCTATTTTACATCAAGACGAGTAGGCATTCACCTTTAATACCGACTGTAGTTCAGTAGTGAAGCATTTTAAACGAAATAACTTGAGCAAGAAATATCCTGTGTTCCCACATTCACGGACTTTCAAAACACTAATATGGAATTTCGCCATCATCCGATACGTTGTACTGATCTTTTTCATTGGTACGAAACTCGGTTTCAGGAGTTTACTGTCATTGATGTGGAATCGTCAGAAAAAATCTTCCATGAGAGAATTACTGCTCAAATGAAAGTTAAGTAAATGAAAACACCAGCAGCTCGAAAGACACGTTATTTACACCGCAAGAGACTATAATCTGATTTGAATATACCCTGTGGATTACAAATCGTTGCCTAATAGAAAAATTTGATTTATCAACACAGTCGTGTGCCAGTTTAAAAGATCAAATGACACTCTGATTGAAGTTGTCAAGGCCTGGAATCCTACACGTAAATCTGCTAAGGTATTGCTAATTGATCACCGTCTGCTATTGAGATGAGTGTTGGTAGCTCAGGTGGCGTGGATGGTAGTTGGTTTTTCGTTAAGCTACGCAATTTGATTGCAAACGCTCCAACAGCAATCGAAGTGTATCACCGGTGTGTTGCTATGGGGCGTATGTGAGTGTACCAATTGATCGGTGGTTGTGCTTTGAGTAAGGTTGCGTGCGCGTTTATATACGTGCTGCTAGCCGGGGCTGACCTTAATCCTACACTAAATCTGCTAAGGTATTGCTAATTGATCACCGTCTGCTATTGAGATGAGTGTTGGTAGCTCAGGTGGCGTGGATGGTAGTTGGTTTTTCGTTAAGCTACGCAATTTGATTGCAAACGCTCCAACAGCAATCGAAGTGTATCACCGGTGTGTTGCTATGGGGCGTATGTGAGTGTACCAATTGATCGGTGGTTGTGCGTTGAGTAAGGTTGCGTGCGCGTTTATATACGTGCTGCTAGCCGGGGCTGACCTTCGATCGTGACAAGTTGTTCGGTCGGGCGGCTCCATTGGTTGCTTTGTTTCCCATGTCCTGACTAATGTATGACCACGTAAGCTTGACCAAGAATATGAAATCATTCCTCCTGACAGCAGTGTTGTGCATCTTTATTCTGGTGCATAAAAGCCTATCAGTTTGTCCAACGTAGAACTTGTTGCAGTCGAATTGATATCAAGTCGAACTGCAGAAGGGTAAGTGACCACCATTCTTGGACGTTTCAGTGAACAGAAGAATGACTGGCACACTGGAAACCTTCGTATAGCGTAAAAAGTCACATGCGGACAAAATACTGAACTAGAACGTCAATCATGCAATGAATCACAAGAAGAGTTGCTCCAAAAACGTGCTCAAGGGGCAGAGTCACGTTGTAGCACCACAGACAGAAAAAAACATCCATTCGGAGTACTCCAAAACAATCAGTATCCAAGGGCTTTTAGCGAGGGAAGCTTGAAGAAGACGGCATGTCAACAACAGCAAGAAAAAGCAACCAGACGGGCAGTTCTGCGTTACATCAAAATATACCTGAAATCACAGCCAGAGTATTAGCTCAAAAAAATCATCGTAGCTCACAAGCCAACTGATTTCAACACCTAAGGACAACCAAAGCAGAGCCACGAGGAAGAGTGTGAAAAACCAAATCAACTGCAACAAGTTCTACGTTCGACAAACTGGGAGGATTTTATGCAGCAGAATAAAGAAACACAACGTTGCAGTAAGAAGAAGTGATTCCCTGTCCTTAGTCAAGCTCACATGGTCATGCGTCAGTCAGGACATGGGAAACAAAGCAACCAATGGGACCGCCCAATCGAACAACTTGTCACGATCGAAGGTCAGCCCCGGCTAGCAGCACGTATATTATCGCGCATGCAATGCTACCCAACGCACAACCACCGATCAATTGGTACACCCACCTACGCTCCATAGCAACACACCGTTGATACACTTCGATTGCTGTTGGAGCGTTTGCAATCAAATTGCGTAGCTCAGCGAAAAGATCAACTGCCATTGTTCACCATGTTGTGAGGCGATTGTTGCAGTGGCAAACAATGGATCCTATAGTGGGAACTCAAGGGTGTATCGCAGCCAGTCGATGCCTGGATCCCTGAACTACGACTAGGCTTAAAACTTGCAGTGAGTGGAACTGTGAACAACCTGATTCAGTCGTTCATATTCAACCCAGTGAGGGAGGCTTGCACTGTTAAGGCATCAATACACATGACAGGCGCTTTAGCCTAAACGAGCCTTAGTAGCAGTACCGTATGTTAGGGCTAACACAAATATTGGTATGAGCTATAGCAAGCCTCCTGTAACACAATACGAATTAGGTCCAGGTGGTGGCTGACGCGACCTGACAGAACGGACGAATTGGTATACTCAGCTTGATATTCGTTTGTTATCCACCTTCAGTTCACATAAGGCAACGGACGTCAAGCTTATCACAGGAGAAGATAGTAAAGTTCAACTAGGTGTGAACGATTTTACAGTAAAGTGTTTCTTCACAATACGGCCCACGGTTTTGATACCTGCATGAGAATCGCACGCTGTGCATAACCGAACAGAATTTGTCCTACGTATCCTTTGTATATTGGTAGCTCGGTCATGTGGATAATCGATGGAGCATTATGGCCGCATATGTAGCCCACGTCGATAGGGGGCGATAACCTACCTTATGAGATGTTAGGAAGTTGCTAAGCGCCAAGGTGTTTTTGAAAGTCTTATACAACCTAAGAGGCGTGTTAAGGCCACGACAGATTGACGCATCATTTATATCAGCTAGCGCCTGCAAAGCGCAGCCATCTGCTCCACCTCCTCAAATCACCATTGAAGGAAACGGTGATAGCCAGAACCACCCTACAGCTATTACGCGGCTTTTAAAACTGCTGCCGCCGATAACGATGGTGCTATCTAAACCATACAAAGTAGGTGCGAGTAATGGTCTAGGTCAGAAGTAAGTCTATTTTCAGCGTCAGGTTCGGTCACGAAAATCCAGATGTTGACCGAATTTGTAATTTTATGGTAATATATTCGGTACTGTTCCGTTTCCAGCCTTTCTCCTATTAAAAAAATGCAGCTTTTGCGTTTTGTCGGAATTTGACGACAAGGAACCAGAACCTTGCAAAATTTTAGAGTATTCCACATAAAGACTGCTACAAACGTCTCACTAATGGAACCCATTATTTGGCACATTTCACTAAAACATAAAATTTGCTTCAGAAGTTGTGTGAAATTCTATGGTTAGCAAGTCGTCAGTTCATTCCTAAACTTCATTCAGTTGAAAGTTGACAGCTGTCAGTCGTACTGGAGTGCAAGTTTGTCACTGGTCTAGTGTTGACTGTATTCAGTCTTACAAAGGAATACAAACACATTATACATTTACTGCAAGTAAGATTTCTTCCTTTCCTTAGGCTTCCTGATTTGTTTTCCTTGCTGTGACGTCCCTTGTCGTAGTATTTTGATGTCTCATATCCTGCCAGATGCGCAGCTGGGGATACATAGGACCAATCGTGGTCGAGACATCTGTTTTCCGCCATCTTTCCAGTGCAAACCATCCGTATAAAAAACATGTGATAAGGAAAACACGTTGGGAAACACATGGTTGATAGACATATTGTTATATTGTACAGTGTGAAGTGCATGTAAAGCACTAGTTGCCCATCACCAAGAAAAGAACCAGAAAGACAAGTATAACCGCTCAGCTTTGGCCCATGCAAAAAAATGAGAAAATACAAACGCAGCTTTCGTAAAGATCCAAGCAGCAAAAAGCGCGAACTACTCGGTGATCAAAGCTAGAACATTACAGCCGTAAAAATTCAAGTTCCATGTGTGGAGAGACACAGCCCCCATCTCCACAACAAACTACCTGCATGGGGTTGACTCACTTTGCAGCTTGTTCAACCAGCGCAACTTCTTCTTGATGTTGTTTGTTCAGCAACTGCAGCATGGTCGCTGAATTTGATAACTCCATTTCCAGTCGCTTGATTTTATTCTTCAGTGCTGTGAGTTTTAACGAGGAATCCTGAAGGAACAAAACCTTACAATGAGATAGACCATAAGGGAGGCAGCCTCAGGACCATTCGAACCGATTAGCTACTTTGTTTACTAGCAATAACAACATCATTAGTATTACCATTAGCGGGGTACATGAACAACAAGGGGAGGAGATATAGCTTACATGCAGTCAATTTGCCCTGTCATTGAAGAAAGACTTTCGATCCAGTAGCTAAGTAAAAAAGAGGAAAAGGGTCATATTCCTCCTTAGCACAGTGTGCCGGCCGGATCCCTCATAAAGCTGTGAGCTGGGCAAATTCCCGATTGATTATGAGATGTGTCATTTGGGAACATTTGGCAAAATACAAACATTTGCGAGGCATAGTGGTGTTGACGGGGGACTCAGGTGGATATGTTTTCTAGGGTATTTTTCAACTAAGTGTATCGCATAAATGCACCCTCTTGTTTCAGTTGAGAGGGTGGTCAAGAGTTCGCAGTATATTTTCTTAGAGCAACACTACACACAGTATTGCTAAAAACTCTTCAAAAGCCTACCAATCTCTTTGCATTTATTGAAACTTATCAGATGGGTACTGTCCTCAACAATATCACAGACGAGATTCACTAGAGTTCCCCGTTAACACAAATAAGTCCATTTCGCCAGTTGCTGACAAGCTAATGTTCCAGTAGAAACTCGGGGACCACGTCCATCTGACAAGAGGGACAAGAGGGACAAAACTGGAAATGAAGTTCCGATGCCTTATGAGTAGTGCGTTGTGCCACCCTGTCGACGTTCACTTAGAGATTTGTTCGGCTACTTGAGCATGTGATCTACCAAAGGTTCGGTTGATACCACCTTGTTAAATTATTTGACCGCCCACAGTTGCACTCCAAAATGAAGTGAATTCTGTTCCATACAGCGCCAATACTTCATACAAAACGCTTCCCTGAATATCGCAAAACACCTTCAACTAGCTCATATGTATGTGTGAGTTCCTGCTTCATCAGTGACTGTCCAAATGGGAGAAGACCACTCTGCTGTTATCATTTATGCTTCATTCTGCTTGAATAGCAACAGTGACCCAGATGTACCATTTGAATAGGGTGCTGTCAGTATTACCTAGTAAAATACAGTATCAGTGATCCTATTTTAATAATGTTTCACTCAGCCTATGTGGAATTTCTTTTAGGAATTCCAATCAGGTTATTTGCTGGAGTTTGAAGACCGAAAAATACCTCTGTTGAGTTCTGGTGCCTTATTATTAGGCGAGAGAATTCGGTCACCCTGAAGAACTGATCCATCATGGATTCGGCTTGCTCAGATGGAAGTTGAACAATGAGTTGCACGATACTTTAGCACAGGTGCGTGTCCGGACGGAAATGTCTTTTTACTGAACTGATGAGAGAAATTTCGGGGTAACATATTCGGTCATCCAAATGCAACTGAAAAATGTCTCCTTATAATAGATGGAAAGTGAAAGTCAATAAAGCCGATTTTTAAATCACGTAGTATTGTAAAGAATGGAAATAAAAACGCCCATGCTAATATATCGTCCTTCCTAGGCCATAAGTAAAACAAACAACTCACCGATTCTCTAGGATTCACTGTATGGATCTTACTGAGCGCTCGCTTTTCCCAAAAATTGTCTTGTAGTAATTCACCCTCATCTGAAAATGATTGGTGGAAATATCAAGTTTGGTCCGTTGTCTGATACGGTCATCAGTTGCACAAAATTAAAATGCAGCATGCACCAAATAGACTGACCAAAATTGGGAGCTTTTGAGGCAGAGAGGCATCGGTGTTGAACACTGATGTCATGCCGTCGATGATGATGATGAACGCTATATAGTGTATAGTAAGTGAAATTTACACTACCTTGCTTATTTGTCAGATTGGTAAGCTTCCTCTAGGTGTTCAGTATAGTCGGTAGAAATGTTTTCAATGACTGATTCCTCCGTATTCGTCTAACAAGGGAAATGATTTGTTATTTTTATGAATAGTCACCCCATTCTCTTTCAGGCTTCTGCTCAAGAAAACAAAACCAAAGAAACGAAAAACAATACCGAGCCATTTCACGTTCCACTGCACCCCCCAACAACGCACCGATGACGTAACCGCGATTGGTGATGAAATTGTCCAGCTCAACGAATGAATCAATAACCATCTACGCTACCTGAGCCACTAACATTTTCTCTTATAACACAACGAAACCTAGATGCATTGTCAGGACGTGTCATTCCCACTCGCAGTACCAAAATAAGCCCTATAAGAAAACCACCTAGTGGAGGATGAATGCGTCCAGAGGAACGAGAATGGTTGTAGCAAATGACTATCATGGCTAAAGCTGGCAGAAACGAAGGATAAGCCTACAGAAACATCGGATCTTCATTCATAGGTAACTGACTGCAGGCATGCTGAAAAGTCAAACTTCCGGCTGTTTTTACCCAGTTTGTACCGCTGTATGCTTAGTGTGGCTACATAACAATCGTGTATCTTATTTGCCGAAAAACCCATCTTTTGGCACACTCTTTTGTAAGGGACTGTCGAGCCTTTAGACGAAAAATCTTCTGGCGCTCTGGATAACTTTCCTTCTTAGAGTCATTGTTCCTAGCAGCTACTAACAAATAAACACTTTTCGTTACGTTCGCCTTCGTCGATAAATCGTCGCATTTTCGTGTTTTACATGTCCTGACCCACACCTTACGGCCCGTCACTCTTGTTAAATTCCCCGATTAGACTTTGGTGGCCCTGGTGGACTTTGGGGCCATCGGTTTACTGAGTTGAGTTGAGTAAAGGCTAACGCATTTCAGTGCACGTTAGCGGGAGCTAATTCCGACCGGCTTGTGTACAAGCGTCTCCTTCATCGACAACAAATACAAACTCAAGTAGACTGACCTTAATTTTTACTTGTTTATTTGAAGTCAGTCGTGACTGGTCTTTGCCAAAAAGTTTACCTCAGTTACCAAAATAGTTGAGATCTGCGCCCCCGCGGAATAACAGAAAAGTCACAGGATTTCTTTAAATTAGCAAATATATATGAATGGACTATCACAAAACTGGCATAAAGAGTCCGACGCGCATCCCACCTACTCGCTGCCGCTTTAAGTAGTTTGGTTACTTCTCAGTATCACATTGAAGATTGGCTTCAGTGTTCTAGTCACGAGATGCTGGATTCGTGGATGCTAGCATTCACTCACAGCAGCATGAGTTTAGGCACTAAATGTTATTGAGCTCTGTTTGATTAGTGCTTGGTTTATCTTTTTCGCTTTGCAACAATATAAATGTGTTCCACCGGATAAGCTAAATCCAGCTATAGATTTTCGTACCGGTTCGTCCACAGAATATCATTTAGCGGATGGAATAAATAACATTTACCCAACCCTACATGAATTGATGACAAACAGGACCTTTCACAAATTACTACAACCGAAACCCCAATTTGGTGTTAAATATATCGTTATGAACAAGCGTCATTCGTGAAGACAAAAAGCAGAGTACGGAACTCAAGTGGTAGGGTAATGTTCTGTTAGCTTGTGGAGTAAGTTTGTGGGAGGTCCGCGTCAAACTTCGAGGCTGACGTCAAAACTGATGTTCTCTGCTGCGCTGTTGATATCAGACATAAAATGGCATTGGTTACAATTCGGTACGGAACACGTATTCAGCACAAATTCCTGAGGCGACTCATTCTGAATATGCTCGTTAACTGCAAGCAATTCCAAAGCTTGTCATGGTTGGTTGTAAACTGCAGTTGACAACAGTACTTCCCAGAATAATGTAGGTTTACAAACCGTGTCGGTAGTAACTATCAAAACTTGTCCACAATTGGGAATTAAGGTCGCCCGAAACAGAGAGTGTTTTCGGAAGAGTTATTTTCCATGAGGGCATTTATGTCTTCTTAGTCATTCACGAAAAATTATCAACGATCCTTATCATGTTCCAGTTAAAATGTCTGAATGACACCAGCTTCGGGTGATTAGGGTTTATAAGTAGGGACAGATTTGTAAAAAGCCGGAGCCAATTCTGAATCTGATGCTGGTAGTGTTATGCCTTACGCTTGATCGCATTTCAGGTTGCTCGTCATATTGTTTATTCAGCTCCACTTAAGCTTGGTGTAAAAACCCCATCACAACAAGCAGTCTAATGTTTCCCTTACACTGATTTCAATACTAGTAGCAGATTATGATGATGATCCAAAATGGCAGGGAAAATCGACTGTTTCTGCTTGACTGACAAAGTCTTCCGGGTGAAACTTCTAACGAATGCGTCCAACATATGTCACCTGCAAATTATACAACGGCACATGTTGCAACCAACACACATCACATGCGCAAACCTTGATTATATGGAGTAATATTTGTTATATCGGCCAAGTTCATATAAAGGCATTTCGGGAAAAAAACGAGACATGGTCCGATATTTCGACAAAAATAACAGGCACATATAGATATGCCCTCAGAATCTAATAGTGTTGTTTTAACTAAGGACAACGCAGATGGAGAAATTTGCATCACTTGGTACTGGCCACACAATTTCCCGTCGTTCTTTTGAGAAGGACTCTCATCGCAAAAGTGCAGGACTACTAAATGATTTCAACTTGCCAAAAGATTTCTCATATGAAAGATGTAACGCAGTACTAGATGCTATGTGGTTTTCCAAAGTTGCTTCTCATAATGTTCCTCGCATAAGTAGTTGATTTTCATATTCATCAAGAATGGGATTGTTTGGTAGGATAGACGGGAAACAGACTAGCAAACCCATCAGAAAATGTAATTGCGGTAACCATTGTGGACTGCAGTATGTTTGAAATGGCATGGAATTGTTCTCATAATATGGATTACGGAAATAGTATTTTCATCCTATGAAGTTCCCGCTAGATTTCAATACTTTCAACAAGTGTCGTTACTGAAAGAGTGACCTACATAAACTCTACTAACTCTACATTTTTGGTCCTCCGGAGCTTCCTCTAGGAAACATGGTTTTATGTGAGCTTTAATGAGTATTTTCTAGAACATTACTTATCATGATGATGAAACTTCTTTTTAGGCTCTTGAAAATGAAAACAAACCCAGAGAGTGTAGCGTAAAGCGTGACTTCCTGTAGCTGAGTTGGAACATACCTGCAAGTGATCGTTTGCCAATGGAATCCAAGGAAGACGGGCGACGAAGGTTTGTGCGCAAAGTTTGGTTTTTCGTCTCCAGTGTGCTGAAGTTATCTGTCAGTTGTGCTTTGCCACCAAAGAGACTGCAAAGTGGTAGAAAATTACCTGTTTTCATGAGCACATAGCGAACTAATGTTCTGACACCAGGAAACGTTTGGGTAATTTGATAAACCCATAGCGTCGGGACGGAAAAACCGACAAAAATGCTCAAGCTAAACAAGAATAGGACTGCTGAGAACGGTAAGGACTTAGCCGACAAGAATACTTCAGTGATGTGTGCCTGTCTTTGGCTGTGCTAGAACTGCTGCATACGCTGCATCTTACTAGAATGCTATTGCAAGCACCTTTAATAATCTAGAAGTATTACAGCAGTAGTCTTAATCTGTACAGTGTGATATTCGTCATCCAAAGTCTGCATTAGGCATTCTATGTGACTCACGGAAGTCTTCGGTTTCCATATCAGCACGTCTACAATGTATGAGGGATAACATTTATGAGCACCAGAAAAACTCTCGCGCTCCGTTTCGTGGTCTGCGCTCGTTTGACGTTTTGTGCAAACTATTTTAACTACTGATGAATTTATAAGTAAAACATGTTTTGAAGGACATTCTGAAGCAATAACATATCCTCGGCCTTACTTGTTTGCCTTTGCAATCTTAAACATCGTTCCCCGTAGGTCATAATTAGACACATGCCTTGCACTTGCAAAATCCAAAAAAGCCGTATGGCAGCGGTAGGTAATATTAGGTATCTCGTCCAGGGCTTCATCAGAATACCCATTCCTAAGTACTGATACTCACTATGGGTGGTCGCATCACATTCGGACAGATCCTGGAATTCTGCCTCCTTGTATTTGGTAGCAAAGTTGTCATCCATTCTTAAATAATTCGGGAAACATTTTTATGATGCAATAGAAGTATCGCATCCAGTAATACCGGACGATCAATTTCAACTATTTCTTTGGTAATTTGTTGAAACATTGGTAGCTCGAGTGAGTTTATTGGTTGTTAATCAGGTAGCGGTTGATCTGTTCGCCGAGCTTGGCAGTTGGCTTGCAAACGTCTCGTCACTATACGAGGAGACATCATCAGTGCGCAGTTGAGTGGTTACTTCCTCCTTGCCTGCGTGCGTCTATATAGCATTCGAAGGCTATCTATTATCTTCTGACGTGATTGGCTACTTAAAATGTAACAAATTTGGTGAATCTATTGGTCCGTTTGTGATCTTTGTTGCGTTTAGGTCTTCGTTTCTTTGTGTTGATTGGTTATCCTAACGCCTTATATTTTTAGTAGTTCGTTCTCTCCGGCCTTGGTTTGTATTGCGCTGTGGTCCTGACGTTCTGAGTTTGATTGGTTGCTTGTGCCGCCTTATTTCCTACACCGTAGCGGTTATTGTCCCTTCGTCCGTCGATTGATTTGGTGCTTTAATTGGGCGCTTCCTCCAATCTAATTGATGTGTCTGTTTGAATGATGCTTTCCTTCTTCACTTATGAGTTCCTCGTCTGGTTAATTTAGCAGCTCTAAGCTCGGTGGTTCTGGAGTTCACTCGCTCTTAGTGACTGGTAGATGGGATCAATTTCGATATGTTTGTTGATGGCCTCTTCGGTGGAGTACCATGCTTCCATAAATTCGTCAAATTGTCGTCCCAGTCATCACACGCGACAAACTACTCAACGTGCTTTCCGGCAAAGAAAAAGAAGCAATGAACAAGTTGAAGGAGGATGAAAACATCGTGATCCTACCGGCAGACAAGGGAGGCCTAACGGTGATCATGGACAAACCGGACTACATCAGTAAAGCAAAGGCACTACCTAACTACGTACCGCCGCTTAGAACGCGACCAAAGTAAGCAGCTAGCAAGAAAAATCAATAAGAACTTGAAGCAACTCCAGGATCTCCACAAGATTACAAAAGAGGAATATTGGAGGATGAGAGCTCGTGATTCGGTCATTCCCACTTCTGTAGAAATAAGGCGGCACAAGCAACCAATCAAACTCGAGAACGTCAGACCACAGCGCAATACAAACCAAGGCCGGAGAGAACGAACTACTAAAAATATAAGGCGTTAGGATAACCAATCAACACAAAGAAACGAAGACCTAAACGCAACAAAGATCACAAACGGACCAATAGATTCACCAAATTTGTTACATTTTAAGTAGCCAATCACGTCAGAAGATAATAGATAGCCTTCGAATGCTATATAGACGCACGCAGGCAAGGAGGAAGTAACCACTCAACTGCGCACTGATGATGTCTCCTCGTATAGTGACGAGACGTTTGCAAGCCAACTGCCAAGCTCGGCGAACAGACCAACCGCCACCTGATCAACAACCAACTATTTCTTTGTTTGGGCATTATCCTCGAAATCCCAGGAATTCGACAATGCAAACCGAAGTATCAAGCACTCACAGTTCTGAGCATCAGCTAATGACTGATCCCTTTCTCTACGTTCGGTACGGAGGTATTATTTCATCCGCTTGGTGAAACGCAAATTCTGGTAACGTGGTTATGGACCTTTTTAATCATGGAGCGCAACATTTTTCTAGCTTAAAACTCCATTTGGGGATCTCGTACGCCCACGGAATTTGTTCAGCGTTTGTGGTGTCTATCATCACTGGTAGGTCCCAAAATGGCTTTAAGTAATTTGTTATTTCTGATGGAGCAGATGGTTAACTGTTCATATGAAGATTATTAGTGGATAGTGAACGAGCAAATTATAGTTGAATTAGTGTGACCAGTAGGATGCAGGTACTGAATTCACTCAATATCGATACATATTCCATCAAAACACATTTGAGGAACAAGCAGGTTATAAACCAGCGAATGCTTTTCACCTCTGAAGTTCAGCGTCGCGGATAGCACATTAGTGAGTGAAGGTTATATTATCTGACACGAGGCTTAGTATTTCCCGATCCTACTCCTTTATAAATTTACCATTATGGCGGATGCTTCAGAGACATACAGGAACTATTTGCATCACGTCCAGGCAAAATCTGGGCATCAGTTTCCGAAACAGTGCTCTTGTTGCGAGTTCATGTTGGCTGAAGAACACGTAAATGCACTGAGTAGGTCAAATTTTTTTAACTAATACTTTGATGTCTGCAGGACTGGTCAGACCACCAGTAGACATCGAATAAAGGGCACTGATGTTGGATTTTATGGTGCAGAGGCTGCCTGAATCACCCGAGAACACATTTAGACTCGAAGGTAGCACTTTCTTTGGACGAGGATTAATATATTAGGTACCACTTCACTACCAGTAATTGGGGACCGCACACCGTGCCTCTTGTTTCGTTTGATTGGACCGGTCCGGATATCCTCAGCATACCCTTGGTTTGGTAACATTGCAAACCATTTGAAAACGACCTCTTAAGTTAAATTCTGCTGACAACACATTGCAACTACTGGGTTGTTTTCAGTCGTATTGGACGGTTCAGGAGTTGAAAGATCTTCCAAATGGAACGACGAAACTTGCTTAAGTAAAGAGTCAGGTTCTTCACAGGAGCGCCTACTAAGCAACTAACGTATTAGCACAAGTGAAAAAATGATGGATTCCAACAACCGACAGATATATTGGCTCTACCTATTTATAACTCACATATGACTACTAATTTTTGAGGCAAATTTATTGTCTTCGTACCAAATCAGCTTTACCCAAGAACTTGAAAAAATTCTTCATTAGAAATCAGATTAGGACGTACTCCTCAAACAAAGATTTGTCTGTCTCAAAGGTCTCCTCATTTCTTGAGCCAGGGGCGGTATAAGGACGGTCGCTTTTGGTTGCAAGTCCTGAAATCTTCTGTTTCTCCGGTTGGGCGTCAGATGGATCCGAAAACATTTGAAGCTCAGTCTCAAACAGTGAAAAATGAATAACGAATAGAATGGCCATTAGAGGCTAGTCCAATATATATTTTGTGAGACGGAACCCAGGAAGACGCGTAAACTTGAGAAGAAGTCTGGTTATGTGGTTAGCCGTAACCATGTCCGAGACTATTACCAGTCAATAGGAAAAACCGGTTCTGTTAGTTACCCTCAATTCTCTCTTAATGCTTTCATTCTGCACAGGCATTAAGGGGACAACTTCCTGCATGTGGAATCCTGTCCATAAAGGGCCCCCTAAATCAGTATTTTTCATACCGTATGTGGCGTTATTGGTGCATATCTTCATGTCTATTCACCAGACACAGAAAAGTCACCTGGGTCCGTTTTTTCCTACATAGGCAATCAATGAAACTGGTTGTTTTCTACTAACTTCGACCTTATGCATCAATTTATGTTGGGAAATCACCACCATATACATGTGAGTGCTACAGAAGCTTAGGGCGCAGTTGCATCCTGGAGAAGGGAGGGATCTTCCAGCAATGAAAAGCAAAGCCAATTGGTGTAAAGGATGTAGACGAAGATGTCCAAAAGCAAACTTTGAATTTTAAACTTCATATTCCCTTAATTTTGTACGAACTACAGCTGAAATGGCCGTTAGTTCTATCATGGTAATGTTCTCTTGTGGTGCCTCAACAGAATAAACAGTGTTGTGTGGTTCAGCTAACAGAAAGATTTGAGTACCAAGAATTTAATGAGGAGGCTAGTTCTCAAAAGCCTCCTTTTTCGCTAGCTGCACATGGTTTTTCCTAACTGCCTATTTGAAAGTGGTTCAAATAATTTGAACTAGGTAATTTGAAATTACAAGAAAACGAATAGTAAGCCAAGAAACAAGAGCAACGACAGAGATTAACAACCTTGCTGTCATCGAGGTCAACAATGTCCGAGAACCGGACACTGCGTTTTGTTTGAGCTGCATGACGCTTCTCATCCTCTTCTAAGGAAAAAGTTGTAGTCGGGGTTAATTGTTTTCCTGAGTTTGAGGTGGGATTTTCTGTAGGATATGAGTAACCGGGTGGTAATAAACCGTGGAACTGTGAAAAATTACCGTAGGGTTCCATAAGTAAATCCAAAACATTCTTCCGAGCGTTCATTCTGTTCTTCTGGAACTTGGTGGCTCCAGAGTCATCTTTTTGTCCAGTTGACACCTTCGATCCGCTCGTACTCTTTTCAGCAATAGATTTTCCCCCAGCATCTGGAACAAGCAACAAGCAACGGCAGTATACATTACAGTAATTTGATGTGTGGCACCCGTGCTAGTCAAGTCGCGCTATTGTTATACCGCTTACGCTTGTCGTACAGATAAACCTGTCACCAAGTTGTTGAAATATGCCAATAACTGGACTCTGCAGTTTTAATCCTGGCCTTTGAAGATTTGAAAACATATCTGATGAATTTAGCTCTTGTGATTACGCAATAGTTTTAGCAGCAAGAACTTCATCTTGTTCTTTCGCTACGTCTTTAATCTCAAAAGCGGACTTCCCAGTGAGTGGAACTTCGCCTATTGGAACTAATGAAACATTGTCGGACATGTTTGAAAGAGCCAAAAGATGGAACAGCTAGCTTTAGCGGAATTATACACAACTTTAAAATAGAAGGTACACGCCAATGACTGTTACACCGGTTTTTTCTCTGTTAAAGGCGATATTAAAGGAAGGTTTAGGTCGCCGTGCTTTGAGTTACCAACTAAAGGAAGGCTCCTTAATTGCAGAGCATGCGACTGTGATCACCCGAACCGCTAATTCTACCAAGAAAGTGTGTAGCATTCAGAACTACAGTAGGCTTCAGTCAACTTCGGTGAGAGAAAAGAGTCTGTCTGATTTCGCGAGTTCCCCTTTTAAACCAGTGTCTACAGATTCTGAAGGCACATGAATTGAAAAATTAGTTTTCTTGGTGCATTGTTTTTACTGATGCATGTGCTTGGTATGGTAACGTTCTGGTATTACACATAAACACTTCACGTTCCTTTCAAACAATATTTGGAATGTTGCTTAGATTAAAGCCAGATTAAGTGTGGCATAAAGTACATGTAACATCTGAGTTCTTATGACCCAAATTATGTTATGAGTTCTTACTTTGCACCTTGTTCCGTTGTAATATGTCCAGAAACACTGCATTTAAACTATCCTTTGGAAAAAGTTATTTGGATTCGCGTTTTCAATGACCTATATCTGTTCTATTCTGTGTTATTATCGAAATAAACGAGGATTCTTGGTTGATGGAGATTCTGATCCCACTGTTAATCCTTGAGTTCATTGCACAGATAAGTGTTCATCAAACGTCCAAAAGCCTCAACCGTTGGTGCTCAAACAGTTCACAGAGTTCATACAAAGAGCAGTCAGGTATCTTTTGTTCTCACACATTTGCAAAACACTCCGTCTTTTGAGAATTCGGTTGCGAACTAATGTTTGAATGAGAAAACATTGGTAAAAAGAAGTCTTCTCTGGCCTATGGTCACTCTCATCACTGGTCTCCGTAAGTTTTATGCATTTCGTGGTCAGTTACTGCGTAGCATCAATGCTTTGTGTTCCAAGACTAGCCGGTTGAAAATCTCAGGTAGTTTGAACTTAGTTCCAGCAGTTTTTTTAAGTTTGAACATCGAAAGACAGAACACCCCACACTTCTCACCAACTGCTCCAAAAGCGAGCTAGTCTGTCTTAAGATTGCAGAAAATGATGGAGCATAATTCAGAAACTTAAAAAAATTTGGACAAGTCCACTTTTGTTGGAATACCAAGTCTCCTTCAATATTCCTAACGATAGGGGATACTGAAAATGGACCTGCATTCACTCTTGTTATGAATGCAGTGGTTCAGTATATTATCATGACTGTTTTTTAAATATTTATCACTCAAATTTATAACTGGGATTCTTTCATCACGGCAGACTCGTCGTCACAAGAAGTTGGTGGTCGGAATTGCTATACCGTTATGAAATCACTAACAAGTGAGCAAAACAAAAGTATGTGATGTCTACAAATGATGTGCTATCTGTCTGACACTATCGTTCTATGACTTGAAAACGACAAATGAATTCTGAATGAATGAAACAATGCTGAATTGGTGTTGTCTTTTATTATTCTTTTAGACTGTGTCATTCGATACGTATCCGCAGGTTGTGAATCTTCTAACTGATTGTTTGTTATGCAGTGGGCAGTACACGTGGAGGACACTGTATTTACAGAGCTCAAGCAATATTCATGATTCTTTATGAACCATGCAATCACTGTTCTCATTCGACCGGATATATTGCGCAATAGTTCTTCATAGCTTCAACAACAGGAGTATATCTTGTTAAAATTGGACTATGTGAGAAAAATGTCACTGATGCTAAATTAATTTCGCAATAAGAATCGGTCAGCCTTGTCATGGTATGCCCGATGATTTTCATAAGGGTCTCATATCTGACTTTGCCACAGTGGCTTAAAATCTGAAGTAGTGACATGAAAAATTTTCATAATAATTCACTGTTTGCTTCACATCTCAATAGGTTCTTTATTTTAACTCCAATCCACATGATTTCTGCGATGGTGGTTTTTGTATTTTGCTTTGGATATCGTTAGAAAATCGATGAGTTTATGTAACACATAACTCACTGGATCATGCGTCGAGTTATGCTTTAAACTTCGTAAAATATGGAAAGAAGACAACCTCCACGTTAAATGAATTCTGAGTGCCCATACCGAAAAGAAAAGGTTAGGACAGTGGATAAGGCCGATGTAAAAAAGAAATCCCTTAGCTGTAGCAGCCTTTTGTTGCATAGCCGCCGTACCAACAAAAGGAGCGGAAGGACTGGTTTACTGCCTGGCTGCACAAGCTTACATACAGACAGCGAAGATGCTGGGTTTCTTTTTAAACCCAAATCTTCTGGTTAGTGAGTTCTTATTTTAACAACTAAACTATCTCAAGTGAATGAATCAACGCCCTGTCTTCAGGTGGTCAGCAAAAGATTTTTTCGTTGTGCTCATGTTATTAAAAAATATCAACAGTCATTTGGATTGCTGGGAATCCCAGCAACCCAGTATAGGGTTTTCTAGAAGCTTTCGTTATAATACAAAGCACAGACTGAGCTGGTGAGTTGTTCGTCGTGGTTTGGGTTTGTGTTACAGGGTTTAATCCAGGGTTTTTAATCCCACTTTAACCATGGTTTATAGGATCGGAAAACATAATTTGTGGAGATCCGATGTGTGCAGATAGTAATGGAACAAGAAGCGTCACGCAGATTGATCTTAAAAATGGGTGTTTCGGTCCCAAGTACCTGTGTGTAGATTTAGAATCTTTAAAATCTAGTCCTTGTTGAATAAATATTCATGTCTTTTGCGGGTAGCAACATGAAACTGACGGAAACAGAGGCTATAAACCTCAAGGTTTCGAGATTTTAGGAGAGTCATGTAGTATTTTTATCACTGAATAGTGTATATTCATCTAAGGACCATTGATAGGTTACCTAGATGTTCTCTCTAAATTCGTTCGGAGTTATCTCCAAAGCATGGTATCATTGACAGGTTATTTGAATTACGGTAGCCCGATGGTTGGTAAATTATCTGCAAAAACAAAATTTCTGTTGGCCTAGTAGTTTAAAGCTTTGCAGCGGATGATCCTTGGGTCTCACAACGTCGAAGTCACACTTACAGTCATTTTTTGATGGGCCAGTTCTCATTCCAAAAACACAGTAAGCAGAGAACTCAACAAAGAGTTGTGTTATTAGGTCATGATGTTTTGCACTAGCACGAACCCTGGAGGAGTCTGTACGGCAGTGAAGCATCAGTGGCAACACTGATGTTTCGTTTCTTGATGACGATGATGATGATGATGGTTCCTCTGGCAACGTCTGTGAAGGGGCCTCGCACGCGGGATAATAATAATAATAATAATAATAATAATAATAATAATAATAATAATAATAATAATAATAATAATAATAATAATAATAATAATAATAATAATAATAATAATAATAATAATAATAATAATAAGGATGATGATGATGATGATGATGGAGGAGTCTAGAATGATGAGGTTATCCTCAACCCCACATCTGCGTTCCTAATCTAACTACCTGTGGCAAACAAAATGTTCGTAAGGCAGAATTTCTTGCATCTTAACCCATTCTTCTACCACACGGAGGCGGTAAAAGGCCTCTTAGCTTTCCATGTCTGCGGGAGATTTGTCTTTCGTCACAGAAAGCAGAGTCCTGTGACTCACTTTTTCGGCAAGTGCGGAATTTTGATGAGAAGTTCATAATTTGTATCCCGCCGCACGTGGGATAAGAGGAATTAGTATGATTCATGACGGTATTTGTAATACTGGGGAAAAAATAGACGTAAATCTGATCAAGGGTGTGTCCTCCACATATTCTAAAAGGTTGCATCGGTAGGATGACATTACAACGCAGGAGCTTTATCTGGGTGCGATTTGAGTGGCACATGACATTTTTGGGCCTCCTTGTCTTTGCAAAAAAGTTAAATTCTGTGAGTCGCTGATCGGCATAATGGATCCACTTTGTTGCGCCAAAAATATCTAACGTGTTCTGCATACAACAGCAAACTAAACCATTTCTTTCCTGCTGCACATAGATGAAGTTACGGTAAACCTCCCGCTCTGCCAAAGCGGCGGTCGGTAGCGTTTGACGATATATGTGGCCCTTCAACTGATTCTGAGTAACAGAGTTTTCATAAGTTTCAATTTTTCGGTCCACTAGCCCTCGTAGTCGTCCACATTTGGTCCGTTTTTTATAGAAAAACGATGCTTACACACGCAAGTGCTTCAAAGACACAGGAATATTTAGGGGGCATCTGGTTTTTGTGACCAAGCGCACTACAGCCGTCTTTCATAAAATGGTGATTGGTGTATTCAGTCAGTTGGTCGTTATAGAAAGCAAAAGAGCGGAGCTCTTATTCTACATTATTTCACAGTCATCTAGCGTAAAATAGTTACCAGCAGTTTGCCATATCTTTATCAAGTGTCAACACAAACTAAAAGTGTTATTCGTTCCCATCTTTCTGTTAAGTTTCTCCTTAAAATCTCTTCGGGGTCCCGCAAAGAATACCTTATCAGATAGACCTTTTTGGGGTTCAATAACAGAGCAGTGGAAAAGTTTTTGTCCCTATTTTAAGCTCTAAAAGCTGAGCATAACTTTAAATTCTTGTTTTTAACTAATTTAAGCATCTTGATTTCCTATTGATGAGTGAGAGTTTGGCAAATCGTCCATAATCCAAGAGTAAAATATTACGTTCACTGAAGTCTGAAAGCTCTTTAGAGATGTTGAGTCGAGTGTTCTTTTATTTGTTTGTATAAGCGCCATGGCAGAAATCGTCGTCCTTTTGGTGTCTTTGAAAATTCATTGTTTGGTTATCGGACCCCCCAATTCTCTTTTTGGTGTAGTTTTCCTCGACAAATAATTAACGATATGGCACACAGCAACTGATTGAGAAAATTTCATTAGGATTGCTCAGTATTTACCACAGTTAAATAGCAGAACAAATTTTTGAAACCAGTTGTATAGGAAAATATAGGCATTTCGAATGCTTCCCTTGTCGTCATCATCAACAACCATAGCCTAGATTTGAGATCGTCTGTAAGCGGGGGATTAAATTTTTCATTAAGTCCAGTGCATTATTTACAAATATTTTGAATAGTACAAGACCAATCACCATCCACTGAGGACTCTGATGATGCGGCACACCTGACTGAATAATTAGTCAACACCAACTAAAAGTATGTTTTCAACAGAAAAGTCCCTGATCCATGCACTAATCATTCCGTGTTCCACGTAAGACGATTTGGTGCACTATCCACACGATGTCTACCCGAATGTTTGAAGTTTGCTTTCCGGCTTCCTCAGAATTGGCACATCTTACGTTGTTCAGCAGAGGGTCGGAGAGGTAATGCCTAAGATTTTTAGCCGCTCAGCCGATCAACAACTTCTGATTTACAGGTGTTACTACATTTTTGCTTGAAGGGCGATTCTACCCATTTTCAGACTGAAGACATGAAAGTTACTTTTCTGAATTCCAGCGTATTGTGTTTTTATCAGGGTTTTTCATCAAATTAGGAATACTCTACTTTGGAAAAAGGACGGCCTGATCTTCCAAGAATGATTAGCGTTCCTCCACGGTATTAATTTCGATTCTACAAAATTTTCAGTTTGTCGGTGGATTTCTTCCACCAAGTGATCTCTCTTTGTGAAGACTTATGTACACCGTCTCTCAAACACTTTCAAAATTCATTTAATCTTTGGTCATAGAACTGTTAAGTGTGCCATACTGAAAAGGAGGTTTTTTCCTCTTTTTATTACGGTTTTTATGGACACTGACAGAAGTCCAAATCACCCCGTCTACATAATTTCGCTGCTTCAATCCTTCAGTATTCAAAAAACAATTTCTGTGAATATTTTAATTAGTATGCCCTTTGTTTTTGGGTGAAACTCCGTTATTTAAACTGGATAAATTTCATTAGTTACGTGTGAATAACAAGACGCACCTTCCCTCCATCCGGTCTTAATCTCTCACGCGTCAACTGCACTTACGCAAACCTTCGTTCTGCGCAACCACCAGATTCACCCGGATGTTGACACTTACTCGCAGTACTTCCTGGTCAGAAGCTGTCTAAGTGACAAATTACTTTTTTATCGTTCCGCTTTCCAGAATACTTTATTCGCCGAACATCTAATTTATTAGCAGTTGCACTCAAAAGAACTTCTATTATAGCCTATTTAAACTCCGGCAATATAAGAGGTCATTGAGAACCTATTTTTTCATGTTGATTGCACTTATATTTGCGTAGAAGTCCGAATTAATACCAGCTGCGTCGCTCATTACGAGACCTCAATATATATGTGTCACAGAGTTCAATCATGGATGGGTAACGTGTCTCTATCATCTGACTAAGAACGCGATTCCATTCAGCGTCGTTACGAGGCCGCAAAGACATCGGTGTCTTTGTGGACTTCCCAGGAATTCCTGAGCGTTCAGATGAAAGCGGTTCAAAATCAGGATGAGAATTGCTCACTTTTGTCAAGCTTGCTAGAACGTGTTGTTTCTTCGAATTCGTCTCCCATATCGATTGTGTTCAGGATGTCGTCTAGTGAATCTACTTATTGAGTTAAATTCCGTGGACACCATTATTACCATCGTGTAATCCGCCATGCGTCTGTGGTTTGTCATCACTCGACTGAATCGGCTATATTAGATACATTCGAAAATTACTACTTTAATATCATCCCAAGCATCGTTCGCTAAATCACTGTAGAATGTTGACATTTTCAAAAAAGTGCCCTTAGTGACAGTGTAAATAAACAAAGACTTTGCTGGGTACCCAGGCTAAGGCACAGAAACGATTCGGTCTGGTTTCAGCGCGGTACTTCACAGCGAGAAGGTTGGTAGCAGGTTTCGTGCGCTGGACCTCACCCAATGTTTGGTGGACAGCGGTCGTTCGCGAGCCTCATGTACTAACTCTGGTACCAAAACACTTCAGACATCTTCGGAATCTATTATATGTGGGGACTGTTCAGAAGAAGACCTCTGAACCAACATAATTGGATTATCGTTTATACGCTGACCTGGGCCAACGACGAACTATTTTAAAGAGAACAATTTTTAGTGAGTCTGCTCCATCTGACCTCCTTATTTTTTTATACCTAACCTAGCGCAATTATTTTTTATTTCTTTGCCACACACTCCTGGTAAACTAATTTATTGGGTAGCCAGACCACTACAGTAGCAGATATTCTTGTGGCATCATCCTAATTCTGATTAGTCAGGCTGTCGGTGGCGATAGCATAAGGTAACTTGGTCCATTCCAGCGGCTGTTTATTTTTTGCCAGTTACAAAAATCGCTGGCTTACTTCAGAGTTGCACTTCAAGAACAGTTATATGAGGGATGACTCTCTTAGGTTATTTATGGACTATTTTTGGTCTTTGTCGGTTCGCTGTTGCTTACACTTATTCCATAATCCAAGTCGTCATGAAGTAACGGTGACAGACAGGAGACAGGGGATATAATCTCTCGAATACTAGAAGCATCAATGACTTTCCAAAATACTAGTGACTGTCGGTCCTGCTCCGATTGACCCTAATTCCACCCATTTAGTCGTGTTTTGAATGACCGTGCGGAAATGTTGCGACGTTCATTGTGATAGAGGGATTGTCGCCGCAAAAAGGCCTGTCTGCGTGCTAGTTACTTGCATCCTATATTGTAACCAAAAGTATCGCATATGTTTCCTCACTGCACGCTCATAACTTCGTTTTTACTAGGGATAGTAATAGGCGATATAACCCCCTCAGCAAGTGTACCGATGATTATCCCTGTCGTGAGTCCATAGTAGTTCGCGTATATTGAATGCATATATATTTCAAAGAAACGGCTGGTGATCACTAAAAGCCGTACAGTCAAGAAACAATTTCCAACACTAATGCAACCACCACGACGCCGCTGCATAAAGCTCCCGTGGCTTGGACTGCCTACATACTATTTTGGAGGGGCAGGAGAATCCCTGAGCAACCTAGCTTCGGTAGCTTAAGGCTGCGTAATGCCTTATGCAAGGATATATTTCACCTCAGTAACCTCACTGCACACACTGACGAACAGCCTCCAAACAATGAGATTTGAGGGGTTTTTATGCATAAACAGCTACCGAAGATTGCTGGATAGTTGGTCCACACTCTAGCAAAGATGCCTATAATAGGTGTCCGGGAACAGAGGCCCTAGCTGTGGGATTATTGTGTTAGTCGAACATGGGCTGTTTCTAAGCTGGATTCAGGAAGAAAGGGCTGTATCTTCTGCTAAGATACCGGGTATCACTATTGGGGAGCAGAAGCGGATTTGAAATTTAGTGCAGGAACATAGAATCAGCACTGATGAGGTATGCAAGGTAGAGAGAAGTAACTCTCCGCAATTACCCAAGCTTAATAGGTCACGCCAAATAGGGCATGTACCACGCATGCCAGAATACCGTCTGCCCAATAGGACTCTTTTTCCCAGCCCTCTGCTGACAGAGAGCGACCGAGAGGTGTACACTGTACCACCTGTTAACGAAATACGAAATGACTAACCAGTAAACTTAGTCGGGTGGGCAAATTCCGCCCTCCTGGATGGGGACCCAGAGGCTCAGACACCAGTGGTAATGACATTGTTGGAAACGGCTCAATCGCGCAGTCAACGGTGCTCGTGCATCAAAGCTGCTGCCTTCAATGCGTGGCTACCCGAACTAACTGAACAGGCGTTCGCCTCCGAGGTTTGTTTGTATGTTCCGATTTCACTTTTCCGGTGATGAAAACTGTGGAAGCTAGAACCTATGTGTCTACCACCTGTTACGAAATACGAAATGACTAACCAGTAAACTTAGTCGGGTGGGCAAATTCCGCCCTCCTGGATGGGGACCCAGAGGCTCAGACACCAGTGGTAATGACATTGTTGGAAACGGCTCAATCGCGCAGTCAACGGTGCTCGTGCATCAAAGCTGCTGCCTTCAATGCGTGGCTACCCGAACTAACTGAACAGGCGTTCGCCTCCGAGGTTTGTTTGTATGTTCCGATTTCACTTTTCCGGTGATGAAAACTGTGGAAGCTAGAACCTATGTGTCTATGGCACTAAAACCGTACGCTCTACACTAAACCCACAATAAATCTACACTAGATCGTTGTTACAAATACGCCTATCAGTACGCGCTTGAAGACGCATAATGTCTTGGAATCCAAGAGATCAGGTCAAAAACAATTTGTCTTACAAACGCTTCGTACGCAACTCTCTTAAGTCTCCGGTAATACAGACGATCACTGAATTTCGACATCTCCATATCAGTGTACGTAACGATCATGCATTAACAACAATGGATGTAACTCGGCGAGCACCTTCGTACCGTAAGGTATATGAAAAATTTTGCCGAAGACAATCGATGTTCAATCGATTATGCATTTTTGAATTCACATTCATTGTCAAGCGGAAGTTGTTTAGAGAAAGTCCTTCCCATAATTAAGCACCATATTCCACTGGCCTTTGGGACGTTCATTCTTTGCCATGTACGATTCTCAACCTGAGACGTCTCCTTGGACTGTTCACGCATAGTGGTGGGATGCGGCATACAATATTTGTATGTACTATTCAAAAACGCGCTGCAGCGTAAGGAATAAAGGCGCACACACTTTGTGCTGTAGTGTTGCGGAGCCACCCACTAAAACCCACTCCATAGCAGCCCATCCTAATTCCACATATAATCGCACAATTTTCAGCATGATGATACCGCTCAACCAGACATTCACCAAAAGAACACGCCCTAAAATTACCACAACTAAGATGTCTCCAAGGTGTCACACCCAGTCATAGTAAAGGTTCTTAATCACTTCGTTCAGTATACTCCATAAGTTATGTCTCAGTACAGACACCATTCTGAAATACCGGCGTCCTAATCGCCGCACCAGTCACACACCGTGACTCCAGGAGTGGCTCGTCTACCCAATTTTTTCCCACACCAACATCCCCGATCCAACTGGTCGCAAACAGAAAGTTTATAGGAAATGCCTATAATCTAGGCTCGTCTAATGTTTGAATCAATCGTGATTTATTTATGAAACATGGTTCCGGCACTGAATGCTTATCTCAAATGTTTATCTTGAAAATGTGGTAGCCGCTTGGATGTGTCAGAGACTTTGCTCTTGTGCGTGCCCATTGGTCGATCCATCAGCGAACTGGTGTGTGACGTAGCGTTTGACTGGACGCCCGTCCTACTGTCTGCACTTGTGCATGTCTGCCTGTCGGTACATCCGTGAGATTCTTTGCATGATGGCTAGCCACATGACACATTACAAACCGGACGGGTTTTGCCGCTTGACACAATACATCTCTGTCCTTACGTACGTGCGTTATGAGTTACTTTGAACGAATGCTTATACTAATGCAGGTCTGACACACCCATTCCACTAAATGTCCACTAGAAAGCTAAAGGAATTTACTGCTACTGAAGGATCTTGGAAACAGTACAGGGAGTGGGTGAAGTGTTGCAAACGTGATAACAGACGACAAGCGAATGTGATCATAGTTCTTACGATATGCTTTTCCACAACATACCGGTTCATACGTGGCTTGGTCGCTCAGAATCTTCTAAACAAGAGAACTTTTGACGATGTTGTGTCCATGTTTTTCGAGTTATCAGGATCTAAAATCTTTCAATGTCATCCAGCGAAACAAGTTAAAACAGGAGTACAAAAGGAGAGCAAACCCACTGTAAATTAATAGGAGAGTTACGGGGCCTTGAAGAGCACCGTGACTACTGAAGATTTCGAAACGGAATTCCCAAAGGTCATACAACTGCTGGTGTGAGAAATGATCGAATACTACAGTGTTTCCTCGCTGATAGTGGTTTTACTTTGAAAACGGCATTCAGCAATGCCGTGGGATTGGATGTAGCAAAAACTAAGGGAAAACCTCTTACCACCTGTAGTGGACTCATCGTCTGAGGCTAATCGGTCACAGCAAATACGAACAGACTACAATTTAGGTGGCATCGCCTTAAAGGTAGTCATACTCATCCAAAGGAGTGCCGGCACACGCAAGCTGTTTCCACTTGGTGTAAAAAATGTGGCTACCCCGACAAGCTATGCTGCTAGGTTCCAGCGTTCGACGTGACTCCGATGTAATAAATAAATTTATAGGGCCAGAAACCTCGGAATATGTCTTCATGCAACTACTGCTATCTATCGCGAATAGTTTTTGAGTTAGATACGGGTAATCACATTGCATTTTGTCGTAAACATCATGGCAGGACAAACTGGGACCAACCAAGTAAACTAAACTCTATCAAGCTTCAGTCCGAGTCCAAACATGAAAAAAGAAGAGGTGAAGCGGTTGAGGACAACAAGTGATTGTTTCGTATAAGGTTGTGATGGTAAACGAAATCACTTATGTTGCTGAAGAAAAAGGCCCATATCTGTTAGGGCGTGACTCGCTATAAGCAGTACCAATGCTTACGTTGAACCAGGTCACAGCAATCTGTTTCCTATCTGCAATTACAAAGAAGTATTTTTCAGAACCGACGGCTGGAAAGGCTTCCGAGTGGTATTCCAT